TCTTGTACAAATTCATTAACAGAGGTTGATAATGGGCCAAGTTTGCGAAGTAAAGTGTCAACGCATTCTTGATGCGCGACATTATGGAAATTTGCAATATTCGAACTAGTGAATGGGAGGAGGTTATTTCGTATATATGCACCAAAATGTTCTATAAAATTCTTCTAGAATCCATCGCTACGGTGGGAAGGGTTATTTAAGATATGAAAATAATAATAGTTTACAGTATCCATTGCTTGTATAACTGCCTTTGGATTATTAAGTAATGCCAGATGTATTAAAGTTTAGCCATCCATATCAGTAACACATTCTGGCTTTACAATGTACTGAAACTGCACTAACCCTTTTAGTGATCGAAGATTACCTTGTGCAAAAATTATCATTTGGGTCTTTTCTTTTCGAGAGATATATGAGGTTATTATATTTGAAGAATTTTGTGATTCTATATAATTTCGAATTTCTATAGCATGTTTCAGTTTTTTCCACTTACATCGGAGATGCTAACGTACATCCCTTCTTGTGAGTGGTTCTTCCATTCCTAACCATTGTCCAAGAGAAAGCCACAATTGTTCATTTAGATCTTTTGTTTTGGACTTCACTTGGGTAACATAATTGACTTTAATTATCTCATTATTAATAAGCACTAGAAAATCAGGCAGGATCTCGGATAGCTCAACTCTGTTTACTAATACAGCTTCTCGAACTAATGTTTCTATTAATAATTCCTCTGCAAAAACTTTTTCTCGACTTTTAACTTCTTTTGATGCTATGCGATCGGATGGGCCAAGCAGAATGCTCTTCCACTCTTTTTCAATATAAAATATTTTATCTTGCATACATAACCCCCAAGTTGCATATTGGGTCCGATGCTAATAATTAATAACACAAAAGGTAAAATTAATATTAAGCTTATTAATAGATTTGGATGAGTTTTTAGATTTATCCTCTTCTGTCTAATATTTTTGTGGACTGGACCAACCACCCTAACTAATTATTGGGTTATTAAAAAAATAACCGTGTGTCTGTTGAACCACAAATATACTTAGTAGAGGCCCTATCGCTTCTACTATAAAACGAAATTTTTTGCATATCTGAGTATATTCAATAATAGCTTGGAAAGGTCGACCGATCAACACAAAAACAATTCTAGCAGTGAGGAAAGAATTTGATAATTATAAATAATATATACCCGGTTCAGATCAAAAGTAATATCATTAATCATTAATGCTATGGTTGGTGCGATAAGTAAATTGTGGTCCATTAAAAGAGTCAAAATTTGTTCTTTCCCAAGCCTACATTTTTTATTATAACGAGCATGACGTGACAACTTTTTGGTTGGTTTCTCTTGGGATATATTAACAAGATTAGAAATTTTATTTTCATTTTTATGCTTCTCAATAGATTCTTGCATTGTTTATGAATTTAAAAAACGTTCTTGATATATTACTAATGGGTGAAAATTTTTAGTGATATATATAGCAAAGCTTACAATGTTATAAAAAATAAATTATGAGGGTTTATGCTAGGAGGCGCCCCTTTTATTAGAAAATATAATTATAACTAAAGGTATAGTTACTCCTAATGCATGTTAATTTATAAATTTGCCAAATATTTTTTTATTACAGCATTATATGTTGCAAAACATAACTTGATGATTTAACACTTTGCAATTACAGAGTACACTTTCTAAAAATAGTAATTTGTCAAAACAATGATTAGCACGTTGCTTTATTTAACGTTATAATAGATTTTGTAATTTTCTAACAAATTGCTATTTACCAAATTCGGCACCACAATTATTGGACACGGCAATTCAATCAACAATCGCACGTTTTCTATATTTGGGATTACATTAATAACTTGTTGAGGCGCATTTGGCTATACGGAGTACAGTAATTATTTTATATGCTATATTTAAGTTGGATCTACAAATTTAGAATAACTTCGTTATTTATGCAATATAATCAAAATATGTTGATCAAACATCTAGCAGAAGTGTAAATACTGTACAAATACCTACAAACATAAATGTGTATTAATTTAGCACAACCACGTTGATAACCATTCAAAAATAACAGCCATTTGTGACTTATTTCACTATTGATCTATGCTAGAAAAAAATAAAGTACGTACGCATTATGACCTAGGCCAAAATAAAAGCGGACCCACAGAACTGTTAAGTCATATGATAGTATGACAAAGCTAAAATAATGACGTCACGTCACTTGATATTCAGTTCGAATCCTTGACCAGCTTTAATAATCAATGGCCTGCATTAAATTTTATGCGGTGTCACTCTCCTGCAGAATCATTTTTCATAGTCAATTTTTGATTAACAGTTAATAACTACATGCTCTAGAACCTTTTCCTTACCTTATATAAGATCCCGTGATAAGAATGAGACTTAAAAAGGTAATAAAGGTAATACGTATAATATTCTTAATCAGTAGTTTCATATGTTGTATGAACTTGAGATCTCCGCCATCTCGAGATCATCAGATCTAAATCTACCTTAAATAATCATTGAATCTAAGGGGTTTAATTTTACCTAAAAAAAATAATAAAATACATTCAGTATTTGGAACTTATAACCGAGCGGAGTTGCTTTATGGAGATAAAAACTGGCGTTGGATTTGGGTAACTTAATTATTAATGGAGTTTTCCTTCTAGCAGGTTCTCAGACCTAACAAATGTAAAGTATAAAAATAAGCAGACTCCCGTCTATAAGATAAGTTAGCAATAACATTATTTTTTGCTTATATATAAATTTACTTGTCTACTTGCTCGTAATTTATTTTTTAAGTAATTTGCTATTTCATTTAACGGAATCTATGAAAACGAATTTTTACTTACCATGATTTTTTTCGTATTCAGGTATAAAAAATGAGTGCTAATGATAGTACCACCTCCAAGACCAACAATACCACCACCCCAAAGACTAATGATAGTACTACCTCCAAGACCAACAATACCACCACCCCCAAGACTAATGATAGCACTACCACCACGAGTAATAACACCACCACCTCCACGACTAACAATCCTAATATCCCCAGACTACCAATTATAACGCCCCTAGAACTAACTGAAGAACACATAGTTCCAATCAACAACGTAATAATAGGAGAAACAGACATAGTAAGTAGAGGCATAGCCTTATTGCTTTGCAATAAAATTCTGCTAAAGCTAAGAAGCTAAGACAATAAGCTAAAGAATCTCAATTTATTAATTTATATGATCCAGACTATAATCCCGAAGATGATGACTTTCTTGAAAGTAATCCTTTTTATTATGTTTCAAAAGAATATTGTATAGATAATGATGACCATAGTCGTCTAAGTCGTAGGGACGCACTAAATATTCTAGATCAAAGTTAATAAATATTTTTTTATTTGTATGCCATTTCGGCAAAAAAAAATTTTATTAAATAAAGAAGGAGGTCCTGTGGCCTTCTCATATTTTATTTTTACGTGATTTTTGCAATACAATTTGTGTCAAGCACAATGATTCGCTGTTTCAATAATTCTAATTCTGACATGTCTGGTTATTAACAGTTTTATATAGAAAGTAGATTTATTTAAAACTTCAAATCTAATTTTTTACTTCGCAGGCTATTTAACCGTAATATAGCTCGTGATCAATGTGTGTTTCATATAATTATCCCTATTTTATCAACCGTGATTGAGCCGTGATAGTTGTAATTGTGTTATGATTAGCCTAATTTTAGAAAATAAATTTGCATGTTATATTTTTTTTATTACTCTGCTGATCAACTAGTTTTGTTCCCTGACTGCAATCGTAATCGATAGGTGATCATTTTATTTATGTACTTTTGCGATAAGCAATGAATTACATCGATAATCAGTATCAGGTGCGTGTTTATAAAATGATTGTCATATATACACATTAAATGCGCCGGGAATGCTTATATGCATACTTTTTTATTTTTCCGGTACATGTATAAGTTGAAAATCAGAAGCTCAAACTATGGGTATATTTTATTAATTTTTGAATAATAATATGACTTAAAGATCCCGATTACAATAAAAAAGTTCAGCGGTTTGAAGTAGTAATAATAAACATTGCCTTCACTCTTCATCATTCTTATTCATTCATTTACTTTCTAGCGTCACAGAGCTTGATATTAATTGTAATCTAGGTGGTGGTATCATAAAACCACTTTCATCACAGTTCTGTAACATCTTAAGCTGTTCTTTTTCCGTCAGATTCTCTTCCTCCATTAGTTTGATTACATTTTTCACTATTGCCTTTAAAATGTTTGAAAAAAATAAGTAAATGAAGGCAATTATAAATACCTAAAGCGACATTTACCTTTGCTTTCCATACCAAGCTTATTGTTGGAAGGGCCTTTGCACTGAATTCAGAGATTTGAGTTGGCATCTCAAAAAGCCGTGTCCGTGACAATCTACAGACATGCCTCGCTAGTAAATCCAATCGCAACAGTGATATCCTCAAGCCTAAAATGATAAAATTGAGTTTACGAACCAAGAATTACCAAATGTAAAGGCTTATATATACCCGAGATGATAAACCCGACTGTTTCCAGCCTTCTAATTTTATTCTTCCACATTTCCATGGTTTTGCAAAGATCAATAAACATATCTCTAAGCATTTTAGGCATTTTCAAACCACCTTCTTTAATAATCTTTGTATCATTGATTCTTTCAAATATTTTTCCAGCTTTGCTACACCCATATTCAGTATGCCATTTCTGGATTATTAAATCTCCGCGCTGACCTATTGCTTTTCTTTTTATTAAATCTGTTGATGCAACCACCCGTTGTAAATTTTTTTTATTTGATAATGCATAGCTACATAATTCACCTCTATTACAAAGAAATAGTTAATCAAATTTATAATAGCGAGAAAATGTTTTCTAGAAAAAAAACCTACCTAACAATTTCCATACCCTCTATATCTAAGAAGGCTTTATCAATAAACGACTACACATGTAGCATGATCTATGTTTCAAGGTGATCCTTTTCGAGATAATTCGCTTCATATTCAAGCACGCTGTTATTATAACAACATCCTTAAAAATCATATGCATAACAGTATAGTACAATCAAAGTTATACTTACAGATTATATATAGTATTGCATATCCAGTCATAATCGAAATTTTTTGATCGATCGAATGGTTGATCGCGTAAATCAGAGTGAAAGATCAATTCTCGCAGGTCAGAAGTATTGGACTATTTGATACATTGTCTAAATAAGTTATACAATGTGAAGAACATTAAGAAAAAAATACTAACCTTTCGGAAACTATTAAGATACTTCAAAAGATCATCCGGTACTAATAGTAATTCTTTCTTGCTAAAATTTTTAATTTCTTCTAATTCCTCACGTGTGAAAATGCCTTGCTGTATATAGTTCTTATCGTCCGAGTCGATTAAAAAAGAATGACAGAGACTTTCATAAAGTAAAAACAAATGAACATTAAATTGCAAAACAATACATAAAAGCAATGAGTAAATGCTTACTGTTCGTGTGAGCATTTCATTCCAAATACGTATAATGTACCTTCAACAACTTTTTCGGTTGACAAAGTTCATTTATCTTCTTTTGGAATTTTTTGATATTTATTCGTAAATTGTTAATACGCAGTTGAAGTTATTTTTATAGCGCTGTCGCCGTTAGCTTTCTTGACATTCACATCTCCTTTACAGGATTTGATCTGTGCACATCAAAATATAAAAAAAGGTGAGACCAAATTTTTGCGAGATTATTTACAAGTATTCAATGCTAACCTTCTTTGCCCCCACAGGGAAAATTAAATCTGAATCTAAAGTGCTATTAAAAGCACGTTTATCATCTGAAGAGGTTGCCTCCTTATTGTATGGTAAGCGCAGTTGCCTTCCAAAGAATTTATCTGATTCATCAAATGTAAGAAGTGTTTCCTTCTCATAAGTGATTTGAACTTGGAGCTAATACAGTAAAATAATTATAAATTCTTTTTAGGAATAAATGCATTAATAAATTAAAAATTCCGATATTTTCTTTGGTCTTACCTGTAGTCGCTCAGTAATCACTTCTTGCCAAAAGGAGTACAGATTGGATTTGGCATGCTCCAGGTTCACCTTATTAAATAGAGTAGATAATTAGAGTATACAATTAGCCGTTTCAACACCTTAATAAACCGAACTGAAAACACAACAGAGCAGAATGCAATGGCAGGAACCAGGAAAACTCATGATGCTCCAAGACAAGTAACATGTGGCAAGGAGTTTTTCATATCATCACTAGGGCCAGGAAGACTCATAATACTCCAAGACAAGTAGACACGTGTTAAGGAGTTCCCTTACTACAATGAAACTATAATAAAGTTACTGTAATAAAATTACCTTACTTTCAAAAGCTTCCCTTAACGTTAAGTCTAATAGCTCTTTTCCTGCTTGTATAAATTGCTTATTCCATATATCATCGAGAGTATTCTATTGATCTTTGAAAGGTGGTGAATTTATGATAAGGGTACAATTTAGTTTCAAAAAATCAACGTAAGACCAAAGGCTGGGATCAGTCCTTTCCAAATAATTTAAAAGAGCTATCGAAACAAAACATGATTAGTACTTAAAATATCTTTCCCATTATTTCATTACCATGCTTGCCTGTTTGGCCAGGATATATCTCATCGGTATTAGACATCTAGCAATGTGGTTCAAATAAAAATAAAGAGAAAAATCTTTACGCAAATTAAAACGTAGACATACGATTTTATTATTTGATCTGTATTATTTGAGAATTATCACATTCACATCGTCTATATATTCCATCTGCTACTTTTTTGCATAGATGTGAATAATGATTGCATTCGTCACAAACCTTACACCTGTGATTCCATCCTCTAAAGATGTGCCACTTTTCGATATAATTTTGATTTTTTTTATTTGTTAATACGTTATTCTAATCTTTCATTATTATATATTAGCCGAAAAAAATATATACGTGGCTAAAATTTTTTATACAAACCTGTAATGTGTAGCACTTGTATTTATGACCTATTTACAAACAAACAAATTATACATAAGCTTATATGTATGAAATTTGGTCTGCTATTTTGTTATAAAACGAATTTATGTAAATTTATTATAACATTCCCCGATATACAGTAGAAATAATAAAAATAAAATAAAAGTCACTGCCCTAGAGGTTAGCTATGTAACAGTTATACAAGGCGCAGTATATGTATGATTTTATGATTTAAAGTTCTCTGTAATATAGTCAATGATCTCCCAACTTAATTTTGAAATTCTTAGTGCCGAATAAGATTTAACCTGTTGCATTTTATCAACACCAATTTTAATGAAAAGCTCATATATTTTTCGGGCTCTTTCTGTTTGTTTCTAACGTGTAGTATCATTAATCTCTTTAGGCAATTGGTCTTTTACTTCTTTATCTACTTTACTCTGGGCTTTACGATCTCGATATTTTTTTCGTTTTTATAATAATTTAAGCAATCAGATAACTTTCTACCAAATTCAAAGTAACAATTTAAAACTTTTTGACTTGCAATATCATTATCAGCTTCGGCTTTAACAATTTCTTTGTAAAGATAAGTATAACTATCTTCAGATAACTGAGAAGCAAATATTAAATCTTTATTAACACTATCATCTTTTAATTCTTTGATAAGTTTTTTTACTGTAGAAGATTCGCCCTCCTTAGTAGTTGACTTCTGTCTTTTA